TGGTGCTGCTGCTGGGGTGCAGGGACAGGAAGCAGGAGACTCCTGTGAGGAAACAGAAGTAATGGACAAAAGAAGCGACGAAGCGACGACTGGTTGTGACAGGGCCTGGGGCTGGGACTACAGATGTAAACACAGGGGTGATGTGTGAACAGCGCCTGTGGCTTACGCAGCGTTTGTGCCTTCCCGCAGCTGCTCAGCGTAAGCCGGGTGTATGGGCCTGGCCAGGGCCTCGGGAAAACCAGCCGGCAGCCCTAAGCTGAAGGACAGCACTGCTCAGCGTCCTGGAGGATGGCAAGTGCAATTGCTGCCCTGGGGTGGCTTTGTTTTGACCACCCAGGGCGGATGAAGGTGTTTCTCAGCCACGGGGTTCTGCCCTCACTGGGGGAGGCCGGGCTGCTCTGAGCAACCAGGACACGGTGGCATTTCCTCCAGCTTGGGGGCCGGCTCACTGTGAGAGACCGAATCGCTCGCTAATTGTCTCAAAGCTTGCTCCTTTGGGTGCTTGTCTGTGAAGATCAGCGTTGCCGCAGGCAAGGTGGCTCGCAGGCTGGCTGAAGCAGGGGCAGACACCCAGGCGGGGCCACCTGCCCACCAAGGCTTACAGCGTGCGGGCAGGACCCTGCTGCTGCCAAGCCACAACAAAGAGCAAAAATAGAGCCCGCCAAAAGTAAAGCACACGAAATGTATGCGCCTGTGCTGGACTGTGTGTGCTCTGTAAAAAAGGCTGCCATCTCAGACCGCGTGTGAGATCACCAAAGAGGGTGTGCGATCACTGAAGATTGGGGGTGCGATCACTGAAGACCATGTGAGACCATTGAAGACTCTGGGTGTGATCACAGACCTCGTGTGAGACCACCAAAGACCCTGCACAATCACTGACCCTGCGTGTGTGATCACCCACCACTGAAGACCCCAGAAGCACGGACCCCCGGAACGTCGGGGATCCATGGTGGTGACTGTGCGCTCTTCTATCTGGAACTCTTGCTTGATTTCCCATCTTTCCTTCCTTCCTTTCCTATCGCTGTTTTCTCTCTTTCCCCTGAACAGTTAATAAATGGGTGGACTTACGACATCTGACCTCGCCTGTGTCTTAATCTTGCTGGAAGAGATTGAACCTGAAACGAGAGGTTGGTCCAGCTGCCCCTTGCCTCCCAGACTCGTCTGAGGTTGGCTAGAAAGCAAGGGGGCCTTCCTCTCATCCAAAAAAATCAGGTCCTAACACTCACTTACCACTTATTTAAGGATCTCCGCTGCTGCTCTGTTGTACTGTACAGATGTGGCCTTTGTCCACCAGCACGACACACGATTTTCTGTTTTCCTTATTTCCTAGTATTTTTTTTCTTGCTTAGAAGTAGATTGTACAAATATCTGATTTACCTTCCAGACAAAGCTGTCTCTACAAGTCAGAAAAGGGACACACGTTCTCAATGATACGGAACTTTATTTTTTTAATTCCTGAGGTTAAAAAAGGAAAAAAAAAGCATCAAGAAACATTCCAGTACACAACCGTCTAACTCTCTGTAACTGTACAGACGCTGGTATACATAAATCTCTTCTTCCCCTATCTATCTGGAGCTTGCAGTTTGATGTGAACGGGGTTTGCAATTCTTTGGCGATTAAGACCAAAAGATGCTTCTGAACAAGTTACAATGTCAGTGATTGAGCATAATTAAAACTATAGTGCAATTTCAGTTTTAAAAAAGGAGCAAAGTCAGGCTTTTGTAGCTTTGCTATTTTGTAACGTGGTACACTGTCGTGCAATACATCTCACTGGTTTTTCATACAGCAACAGTGAGTAACGTTGAGTAAAGGAACACTGTCATTTTCTTAAAGCAACTACATTCTTTCCTTTGCATAAACCCCTGCATAACAAAAAATATTACCCGTCACTGTTCCAGCCCCCAGGGAAAAACACCCAACTGCTTGCACTGACCACACCACTCTGTCCCATGAGTGTGACAACCCCTTAAATTAATTTAATGATCAGTTTAAAAAGTTTGTTTTCTCTTAATTGCATTCCTGTGGACAATAAAAGGCCCAATTTGACAAATCACCTGCGCACCTAAATGGGTTTATCGACATCCTTGGCACAGCTCACATGAACAAGTGCTTTATGAATAGAGGTATAAGGTACTTGAATGGAATAAGCACTTGCACGAACCTACACTTGTGCTGAGCCCTTTAAGGGGCTTCTGCGGCTCTGGTAATAAACCGTCTGGGACATTTAAATGAAAGGTCAGTACTAATGACAGGTTCTTTCCTGTCTTCTCTGCACAGCCTTCGAGGTGTAAAAGACTCTCTCTTCTAGGTGACATGATGGGATTCCTGTTCTGAACAGTTGATTTGAACAGTTACGCTCCTGCCCACTTGTTGTACCTGACCAGTTTGAATATTTCCTCTTTTGAAACTTTTTCTCCTTCTGAAATACTGAAATTCTTGGTTAGAAGCAAACCTTTTCTTTTCTACAGGTTCTGGCTCCCACTCTCAGTCCTCTTTCAGAGAGCAAAAAAGCCATAAAACTACTCTCACGGGGCAGGAAAACCTGCAGAAAAGGTACCATAAAGACTCAAATGCTAAATAAAAACAATCCAGTGTTTTTATTCCCCTCCTCCCAAACATATGCTTCAGCCAGCCTCAGGACTGTCTACATGAAAGACTGGCAGGGAAACATCTGGCTTACTATATGGAGCCAATTTCTTTAAGAGCTATGTAAACAGTGGCTTAAAACTATTTAACACAGGATGAAAAAATGTTAAGAACTAGGATGCAGAGAGGAAATCCAGACCCAGGTCTGTCAAATAATTTTGAACGGAGATATTTCAAATACTTCTGAGAAGAGATGTTCTATTTTGGCCTAAGATACTTGGCAGTGTCCCTTTACCTTACATTTGGCATTTTAAGAAAGATATCCTAGTAGGATTAGTATTCTAACTAAAACAACAGCGAAATGCTTTTAAAAACCACACCTAAAAGTTTAAAGGAAAACTGCAGCAGACTTCAGTAACAGCTCAGTGAAATTGCATAGCATATGGTACACAGTACTCTGTTTCTAAGCAATAAATAATCTCTTCTTGCCCAGTTAAATATAAAACATAGCTTCAACACTGAAATATTCCATAATTCATGAACGGATCCGCGTGCCGTTTATTGCCTGTTTATTGCCAAATTCAGTCTCTTGTCCACCTTGTGTTCACGCACACAGCCAGGTAAGGGCTTAACTGCATCGCAGCCTGTTCCCTCAGGAGGAGGACTAAACCAGCTTGCACCTTCCACTGACCCCTCTGCCCGGCAGAGGCTGGGGAGCACACCCCCAATACGGGGAAGAGGCATCTGAAGGGAAGGGAAAGCTATCCATGAACCAGACACCTAAAATCTAGGTGCTGCATGAAAGGTAGTCATCCTTTCACAATCTGTTCCAAGATGACTGTATTTACACAGTGTTAACAACTGGAATGAACAATTATCAACCTTTAGTTTTTCCTGCTGTATTCTTTTCTTTCCTACAGTCAAAAATTTCCCTCTACCTCAGCTGCTGCAATGGAAATGTCCAACACTTGTGATCTTCATCTTTTAAGCAATCAGCCTTTTGCTGTAGGAGGAGATCCCCTGTGGGTAATGGATTGGACCAGCAACACCAGTGACAGCGATCGCCAAGAATCTACAGGGTTCCTGGCAGGCTGAGCTGGCCACCTACCAACCGCTGCACTAAAACCTTCCATGCCTGAGGTTTCCTTGGGAGAACAGTAACATGAGAAACCAGAAACATCTAGCATGATGAGGAAGGCTGGTTGGGAGAAAGAGCTTTTCTCCTTTCTCCTGCCGAGTGTTTTGCCTTCTCATCAGAAGATAGGATTTTTAAACAGAAAAATCTGCTTTCGTGTATTTCAACAAAAAGCTGAAATTCTATATAGAAAGCAGACAGGTTGCATGGAAATTTTGTATAAATGAGAACCCATTCTTCCCATAAAAGGCAGTGTTTGCAGCCAGCTCTGTCCCCAAATCTGAGATGGAAAGTGAGCAGTTGGCTAGGGCAACTGCAAGGGTTAAGAAAGGGGCAGAATACACCAACACTGGGAGAAGGGCTCATCAGGGCTGGGTATGCATTTGGTTTTGGTTGGACTTTTTGAGACCGATTCAAACATTATTGCTACCTTTCACGTGGTCTAGAGAGGGAGAGACTGCTGACCTCCTCAGAAACTGTGCTCTCCTGTGAATGCGGATGACTAAGGTGCTAAAGCAGGAAAAAGGAACGCTCCTCTTCCTAATATCACACAGTGAGCAGGACTTTATCCTACAAATGATACTCCTGATTCTGCCACTGGTACTCACCATAAGGAGCTGATTTCAGTGGGCCAACTTACAGAGTACGGTGAGCAAAAGTGAAAGGAGTCGCTGCTTTGTGTTGTATAGTTTTGTAACTGGTATTCAGGACCAAAGCATTTATAAAAGCCAGACTTAGCAAATCTTAGCCCAAAATGTAAAAAACCCCTATGCTTGCTGTTTATAAAACTTGGAAAAGATAAAATTCTAGATGGATTACAATATATGCCTGTGAAGACTGAAGTGTTGCATAGTTGTTGTTCTGACTTTAAGAGCAGTAGAGCAGAACAGAAGTGGTTATGTTTACTCCTCAGTGAAGAGGTCAACAAAAATATGCATCTTTTCTTTAAATTTCCTTTTGAAGGATAATTTTGGAAGAAAAGTAATTCAACTTTCAGTAGAGAATTTCAGTTTGCATTTAGGCTCCCCCACACTTATTTTTCTCCCTACTGAAAAAAATTTGGTTATTATTGACCTGTTAAATCAAACAACATGGCTTTTCAGTGATCTGTACACAGTACAGAACCATTAGTGTTCCCAAAAAGGCTTCTGTTTTTTAGTGTATACATATTCTCTAAGTGCATTATAACTATTGCATAGTTTCAAAGTCTTCAAACACAGTGGTAATCATAATGCTTGCATGTACATAAATAATAGCATTTCTTAAAAATTTAATTAAAAAGAACACAGTATATTCAAGGCTATGGAAAATCACTTCCGTCGTAGATGACAGGTCGCTCGACAGCCAAGTGATAAAACACTCTTTTCGAGATAAACCTGTCAAGGGAAAAAAAGAGAGCAAGATGATCATGTTAGCTGAAGTCAACTAGACAGGAAGCCTTAAAAGTGTATTCAGTCTTTCAGTTTATACTCAGGCAAAAAACTGACTGTTGTTAACAAGTATGCCTGCGCAAGGGCTGTCAGGTCTGTTGTTAATAAGATGACCACCCTCACTAAACTGCCTTGGAAAGAGTCACAAATTACTTGCTTACTTCTGTTTACCTTCCCAGAGGTTGAGACAGAGTGGAATTCTGCTATGGGGGAAGAAAAAAACCCGAACAAGTACACGAACCAAAACTCGGGCTGAAGACGTTTTGGCAAGCTGGCACCAATTTCTCATACTTAATTCTGAATGGCAGAATAATGGTACATCTGATCAGTTCCACAGTCTGCAAAACCAAGCTTATTTCACCTTTTACACCCAGCTAGGACCTACCTAGAGAATGTGTTGTCAAATATCAGTGTGTAGATTCCAGAGTTTCTGACTTTCACCTGTCCTCTGATAGTTTCCTTATGAGAGTTGCAGCGGGTCATAGGAATAAGAACCTGGAATTCAATACAAATCAAAATGAAACTTGCTATTTGCCCTCTAAGCTGACATTTGCCTTCAGAAAAATATTTAGACTTGAGCTGTCTTGAAACTCCCAAAGTGTATGTGTGCCTGCAAAACTATTTATTTTCACTGATTAGCATTTAAAATTCTCCCAAACTAAAATCTCACAGTGGGCCATCTGTTTTCCTTTGTTAACCTCTTTACAGCATTAAGCTATGGCTATAAATCTCTAGTTTAGAGATAGAATCAAATCCTGATCTTTTAAATGTTAATCTAAGCAAGTTTACTAACATCAGCAGTGCTATATTAAATCTACACAAATATAACCAAGAGCAGGATTTAGCTAAATATGTCTTTCAATATATGCTTTTATGCTCCCTGTATTATAAAATAAGCTTTCTCAGCAAATCTTAGTGTTTATCTAAGCTTACAGCAAAAGTGTGTGTGTGTAACCATCTATCTTGCTGTAAAATCCTAGCAGAGACAGTTGTCAGAACAGCAGCTGACATAGATCAAGGACAGCCCTGTAAACCCCAAAGTTACAGCCTTGGAGTTCTCCCTACCACAGTGGATTAAACCAACTGCTGCGTTGTCTTCATTAAAACTTTGCAATTAGCTGAGTAACACAGATTCACCTGATCCATAATCCTCATAAAATATGGACAGAGCATATAAAAACCGGTACCTCGAGCACTGGCAAAGCGATTTTGCACACCATCAAGGCACTTAAATATGTGCTTCACTGTAAGAAGTGCAGGTAACCCAATCAATTTATCTGTCTCCTTGTGGCCTCTGCTTAAGAGCCTAGCAAAATCAGCCCTAAGCAGCTTACAAATGAAGTAATGCTGAGGAGGGAAAAAAGAAGAATTTTGCAGGTTTGGACTTTTAGTTTTGCGTAATAATAGTGGGTGAATTTCAGATGCGACCAATAGAAGCTACAGTGCTTTTCAACTCAACTTTTGCAGCCAACGTTGCGTAATTAAAGATGTAGCTCTGCCTTCAGTGGGAGTGTAGCTTAATTGGAGAAAAAAGTCCTTAACGCAATAGCAACTGGCACTCTTGTGGAGACATCCTAGCTATACTTGCTGATTCCTCTAAGCAGCTGATTGTAGTGTACTACGATCTCTAAGGCAGCAAGGAAACAAAGGCCTTACTTTGCACTGATCCAGTGGTGTGTCTTCTGATTCTTGGTAGACAACGCTGAAGGATATGCTTTTAGGGTCTGATGAAAAGATCCAGCTAATTGTTAGCCCCATCTCTGTAATGGTGATGGGAATGATACTGTAGGTGCTGGACTTAATGAACAGCTCTCTGTTGCTTTCCCCAAAATCTAAGATCTCTTCCACTGTAAGGGGTAATTTCATCCTGTGAGGGAGAAAAACACAAATACTTGAAGAGAACTGATTCAATTACTCCGAAAGAAACAATAATAATTGCTTTTTATTTTCCATCTATTTGAGGCAGACTCCACAGCAACTTTGGGACAGGCCCACAAGATGCAGGAAAATTCAGCCTTGGAAGAAGGCAAGAACTACAGAAAAGATGACCAATATCAAGCACTTTCGCTGCTCTGCCAAATGTGTGTATTATTCACTTATTTATTTCATTTTGACAAGAAAAATCTAATGCTTGAATAAAGCTTTTTAGAGTTACTACGATAAAAAAAGTCTGCTGCCCTCTGCTGTTCTTTTTAAGCAAAAATTTAGACGAAAAACAGTCGTCTAATTTATTCACCTTTTTAGGTATCATTTGTACAGGAAATAGGGATCAGGAGGCAGAGGGGACAGATGGATGGAATGTGAACAGCAGCTCTGTCCAGACCCTCTGAAGCACCTAATGCTACAGCTTGGTCTGTTTTACCCAAGAGAGCTGCATAAAAGCTGACTCAAAGTACTTCCAATTAAAAAGGAAGTTCTTAGCACCTAGAGGATCCCGAGTCCTGCAGCATTATATTAGCCTACCTCATTCTGATATCTATTTCAGACTGCAAACAGTGAGGCCCTTAGATAGGAGAATGCTGCTTGCTTTCCTCAGGGGAAATCTGTGATTTCTGAGAGCTGTGGATCTCACCTACATTACCCTACCTAAAACTAATCTAACATATCACTCTTTAGGCCAAATAAATTGTTTCCAAATCAAGAAAATCACAGTACTGTGATTTGTCTGTCAGCAGCTATCAAAAATTAACACATTTACAGAAGATATCACATAGTCACCATGATGATTTACTGTTCTAGAGTAAGAGGAGTTCAGTTTTCAGCCATGACTAGGAAGTGGTTAGGGATCACAGCTGATTTATTATAATAACAATTGTAGTCTGGCCAGAGAGGAAGCTTTATCTAAAGTTTTGTTTACCTTATTACTTTTTCTTCTTAGCTGAAGTAACTGCTGGGGTGTCTCAGGTGATCTTTGATTTTGGTAAACTAACGATTGCTCTTGGTTTTGCCCTACAGCCCAGCTATGATTTTAGTTATTACCTGGTTCTCTAACAGCAGCAACAATTTATCTCCTTGCAGTCATAAGTTTAAAACTTTCCCCCATAACTAAGCCAAAATTTCAAAATTAGGCTTAAGGGGAGAGTGAGTGAAGGGGAATTTCTCTAAGTCACGGGCATTTTCATACATTAGATTCCCTTCTTGGCTGTGTAAATGACATGCTGTGTCGCTACTGCACGTAACTTAATTTCAGAGCAGGATATGTCCAGAGAATTGTGTGCACAGAGTTCACAGAGGTTGAGCAGAGGCTCAGCTGAACATTTTATGCTATGACATATACCAACCAGAGCAGGCAAGACAGTTTCTGTGAGGCCACCAATAAATGATAGATATGTGCTCCAAAAGGCCATGAATTCCTGCCCTGTGACAAAGGTCTGACTAACACAGCACTCCCTGACCTTCCCTTGCTGTTTCTTCCAGAGGCTACTAGAACTACACAGTCTTCTCTCCAAGCCCCCTTCCTGTTCGCAGCACCTTCTGCAATAAGAATAGGAAGGAAGGTTTTCTGATGGGATGTGGACTCAAATCTTTCCTTCTTATTCCCCACCTGCACTTAAGTTTTGCAGGACTGAGGAGAGAGGATCTGGCTCATTGCTGCTGCTGCTCTGCATAGTTGAGCTATACTCTCTGCTCTTCCTCAGACCAAATTCTACTGTGGGACACAAGCGATCAGCTCTTCCTGGAGTCTGCAAGACTTGTACTCACATAGCTGATATCTGAGCTCAGTCTTTTATTCTTTCAGCCTGGTAGTAATGAAACTGTTCTGCTTACATGATTTCTCCTGACTTCAAAGGTTGAAGAATTACATGTGCTGTTTCTAGGACAAGACAAAAAAGGAAAGCCATGATTCCCTGAGTAGTATGTGGTCAAATACCATCTGCATGCTGTTTTGATAGTCATGATGCCAAATTCTAGAATTCTTATTTTGTGCACTCTAGTGACAAAATTGTCTGGGTGAAACTGCAGCCCTGTTCTGCTAACCACTGTGAGCAAATATGAAACTGTTCCTATCCTGGTTTCATGAGCTAAGAGGAATACATATGTCCAGAACATCTCTTCAACAGTCTTAAGATAAATTTCCTATTGAGGCACTTCCAGGTTTTAGATTCCCTGGCAGGTGAAAATCTTGATGGAGGGCAGGCACAAGCAAAACATTCTGGACTTGTTCCTTCAACAAAGCTTGCACAGGGATATGACATTTGCCCTGGATTTAATCTGTGAGGTGTTTTACAAACATATTATCCAGTTCCTTACTCTGACAATGGTACACAAAACATATTTTATCACTGCAGAATCACTACTATGTATCTGCTTTTCATACCAGAAATACTGGATAATTCAAACACAAATACACTGAGGAAGCTGTTACAGGATGACAAAACGGGATGCCTCCTCCCCACCATGATGTGCCCAGGAGAGCAGAGGAAGTAGATAGAAGAATCTGCCATCCTCTCCTTACCTCAGAAAGGGTACATGCTCTGGGTGAACCCTAGAGTAGCACCAGCTATGAATTACAGGGCTGGGACACAGAGAGAAGAATGAGTTTGAGAGTCAGTAAACGAGTGCTGATAGCTTCCAAGTAAGTTAGAGCTTCTCTAATTGATACTTACTTTGTTTCTCTACATCTCAGCAGATTGATAACTGAGACAATTGGGCTGTCATTCCAGGAAAACGCCAAGGATTCTTATATACAGGGAACCAACTGGTTGGTTCCTTCCAAAAACCAGTGGAATCCAATAAAATGTAGTATCACTTATATGTACTTCTGAACCATCAAGTGTAATCATGTAGCAAGGACATAATTGCCACACATTCTGTAAACCAATTCACAAAACCAGTGCACAGTTTAGCATTCTCTTTTAAATCCTACGGGACTTTGCTCTACAAGCAGCACTGCTGAGTAGAAGAGCAGGAGAACACATGTCCAGGTAACAGGACCTTCAGCATGTCCAGCACATGTAACGACGTGTGAGTTTAGTGGGGTGACACAATTTGTTGGAAACAGGAAAAATTTATTGTTATGACTGCAAATTAAACTGCACCCACTGTCCACACATTTCCTGAACTCATAATGCACTGTTTTCTGCGGAATTCATGTTCTCTTATTCCTCTTGCCTCTTGGGTAGCTTTTGACTTCTTCAGAATCATACCACTACTGTTAACACCCTAAGGAGACAGCTGTGACGTGCAGGGAAGACTCAAACCTGTGACTAAGTTCCAAAACCTGAGCTATAACCAAACACTACCCGCCAACTGAAATGTAAGAATGACACAGTACATGTTGATCCACAAAGGTTAATACAACATCTATGCAAATATTAGCAAGTGATACAAATATTTTCATTGTTAACTATCTTTATACAACTAGATAAGAAATCTGGTTCTGAAAAAAGTCCTAGAAAATGAAACTATAGCTTGTAAACCTATACATATATTTTGCTTGCACAGTGGGGACAGCAACAGACTTCATGCTGTGATCCACAGAACTCTCTCTTCCCACCACAACAGGTACACAGCTTTAATTTCACAGCCTTGAATTCATACAGACCAAGAGAACTGCAGGACTACAGCCTTCCCAGAAGCGTCAAACTCCATGATTTATTATGCAATGCCATTAGAGTTCCTTATTTAATCCAATAATTTCAACTTTCTTTTAGGACACTGAAATGCAAGTTAAATCCCAGGATCAATACATTTTCCATGTTCTCCTCTAA